GGATCGCTGCTTCCTGCACCACCCTCCCCCCACTGGGGATAGAGCTCCGGCCTGTGCCCTGACCAGGAATCGAACTGTGACCTCCTGGTTCATAGGTCACTCAACCACGGAGCCACACCCCGCGGCGACCCCAAATGATCTTTCGTTCTGAATTCCAAAGGCCTCTCCGTGTTTTAGTGGGCGGGGCGGGGAGTCACACGGGCCCTTGGCAGAGGGGCAGGTGATGGCAGCAATGCTGTCAGTGCGTCTAATCCTCAGGCGAGTGACTGCAAATCCGCCCCAGCATCCCCAGCTTCCGTTTGGACTGAAAAGAAACAGCCCACGAATACGATTCGTGCCCTGCGAGGTGGCCCTTCGTGGCCCTTTACCTTTGGGGAGAGCAGTGGCGGGAGGGGAAAGCCAGCTGCCATGTGCCTAACGCATGACGGGCAAGAGCCAGGCGCCCCCCTTTGTGGTGGAGCCAGTCTGCTGAGGGTGTTAACTGCAAGGTATGCGACAAGAACCCCATAGTTTGAGGGCTCAAGGGGTCAGTCCCATCAAGCTCTGGTCAATGGGCCAGCTTTGTCGATCATCACACATACAAATCGGGTTTCTGTCTCCCACTAGGTTAATGGCAGAAACAAGCAACGCGAGAAGAGCCCACAACACTTCCTACTTCAAGATAGTACAAGCATCTGTCCTGACATGCATGGCTACCAAATGGGATCCCCCCCATTTTAATATCCCCCAAAGCAGGCTGACTTGGCCTACCTGCATCTGACACAGCATCTGTGACTTGAGGAAGTGCAGTATATTCTAACGCTGGTGGAACATAAGATCTTTTTCAGATAGATGACAGCTCAAACACTCCCATTTTTAAGTTTTGTACATGTAAGTGGAATGTCTTTAAAATAACTTTACATGGGTCTGAAATGTTTGATGGAGGAATCTCTCTTTAAAAAGTATTTTTGATTTCATAAAGGGAGAGGGAGACAGATCAATGAGAATCACCAATGAGCTGCCTCCTGCATGCCCCCTTCTGGAGACTGAGCCTGGAACCCACCCCTGCATGTGCTCTGACAGGGAATCGAACCCTGACCTCCTGGTTCATAGATCAACACCCACCACTGTCACACGGGCAGCGCACCTTTCACTTAACTCCCATGAAAACATGTGCCCTGATTCATTGCTCATTATTTATTTAAATGAACTTTTAAACACCAAAGTGTTTGCTGAATCATTTTAGAATGAACAATTGTTAGCAAGTACATCACAACTCAATTTTTGAACTTGGATGTGAATATGCTTTGAATATACAGTGAGGGCAGAATTACAAATACTTCCCTTTATAAATTCTGTTCAAATCACACCTCTAATTTACCTTCCATTTAGAATTCTTATTTCAATAAATAAAAGGGAAAGCCGGCATTTAATTTATAAAGTTTTATTTTTGTATATGTGCTAAATCTTAGGACCTGTGGACAATCTTCAGTCAGCCTCGGCTTGAAAAAGGCTGAGAAGTGTGTGATCTGGTGGTGAAATTTCCTTTTGGGAATCTGGGTTTCAAAATAAAAACATTTCACTGATTTCTAAGTTTAAAACATAATGGATCTTTCCCCCTTTTTTCTCACACCTCTAAGTTTGGAGGAGAAGTGCTACATTTTGTTTGCAAACAAACGAATTGTCAGAAATACGATCAGCAGCAAGGTAATACATTGAGCATTGGGGGGGAAGGTGTGTTCTACTCGCTCGGCAGTATGTAGGTACCTTCAAACTAGAGACCAAAATCGGGCACTTATAATGAATGAAAAGGCAATTTTCTTATCCAGTTACAATTCTAAATAAGGCAGGATATCCACCAAATGAACCACAAAATTCAGCAGAGTTCTTGGGAGAACCTAAGCTGGAAAAATACTAAAAAAACAAAAACAAAAAAACACTGAAAGGAACTATTTTGGAGTTATCTGAATATTCAGACTGCTGCTTTCGTTTAGAAATGTAATTCAAATAAAAAAGGACCCTCATCTTTTTAACCACTACAAGGATTAAATACTTAAGTAGTTGTTATTCACTAATAAAAGTTAATCATGAAAAAATATAAAACATTTTAATAATTCTAAATTTGTATACATAAGAGCTAAAAGACACAAGGCTGGGAAATTATTACTGAGAAAAATCAACGAAAGACAAAAAACCCCAAATAGGATTGTGTTCTTATTTCTGCCTCTACAATGCTGAACATGGAGTCTGGCTGGTGGAGGGCTTAGAAACAGCAGCAATATGGTTTTTACCAAGTTGTGCACTAAAACACTTAGATCCAACAGGGCAAAGCCCTTGCTCACAGATGAACAGTGAAAATATCTTCAGTCTTTATGTTAACAGCTTCTACCGTCTTCTAGAAAGTAATCATGCCATTTAGAATTCTGGGGATACTTCTTCGAAAGGAAGACTAGCGATTCCGCAACAAACATTGAAAGTAGGAAATATATATATGGCTCAAGAAATCAGTTGAGGGATAAATAACCTTTAGGCACTTCGAAGACTTGAAGTTTAAAATGTGCCATTTATGTTCAGAAAAAGATCTCAAAATCACCACTACGTTGCTCTTACAATAACATGCATCTTAAAATTTCCGGTTATACATTAATGCTTGCTTAAGAGTTAAATATAGAAAATAATTTGCACAAACAAAAAATAACTGTTCATTTCCCCTTGATCCTGGTCACAACACAGACCACTCTTCCTCAAATGGAGGGGAAAAGGAGTCACCAGCCCTCATCTGGCACAAGGGGACTTGTACACAGAAAGCAGCCTTCTAAAATGTCAAGCCATTCAAGCTGCTAAATGAAGTACATTTGGTAAGGAGTGGGGAATGCCAATCACCTCTCGGATGGTGAGATGGTGTATTTAACGATGGCAACTTGTCCAAATCAGGTGACCCTATTGCTAAGGAAGCTTGGAATTGAGCAACTTTTAAATTAAAAACGACCAATTGGAATTGAAACAGGTTCCGTCAAACAGAACACACTCAGATGTAATATATTTAAGGTAAAAAACAGGATCTATCTGGCGTCAAAATTTCCTAGTGTCACAAAAAACCTAGAAGCGCAGACTGACTGCAGAGAACTGCGAGTAAGATACCCACGGCTTCATCTCAAATATCTCCCCCTTTGATGACAATTTTGTCTCTGCTTTGATCGGTTCCAACCACAGCCTGTTGACAGAACGTTTTCCTGTTAACTGAACTTTAAAAAGTACAACTAAGCTTGTGCTCATTAAATACACATGTATATAAAAAACATACAAAAAGTACAAGATTGAGTCCGTTAGGGAGCGTCTACAGGGTCAGCTTCCTGTTTTCTCTAAATCCTTAGTGAAGGGCCGAAGGTCAGACCTCTCTGTGCACCAAAACTCCAGGGGCCTGACCTGGATTCAGTGCGTGCGGAGGCACGCTCCGTACAGCACTAACTTGAATATGCAGTCCTTCAGAAAACAAGGACAAAAAAACAACCACACACCAAGACATAAAGTTCTTCTTAAATCAAATTCTATTTGTGAATTGAGCAAAATAATTTCTATAAAACAAAACAGCAAAATATTTAAATAGAATAGGGTGAACTGTATCTGTGTGCAGGGGTATTTGGTTTAGACAGGTTCCAAAAACTTACACATATTCAAGTTACCAATTCTCTTGTCAATACAGTATCAACCGATGCGTTTATCTTTAAGTAAGTGTTTATTCTGAAATCACAATACCTCCATCACGGTAACTAACCAGTAGTTTCCTCTTTAATCAAACCCTGCTTCAAATGTTAAACCTATCTGGGATCAGGGAAAGGGAGCTAGGACAATTCTTGCTTTCAAGTAAAACTGGCTGAGCAAACTCAACCGGACGCGGACGCGTTGGTGTAGTGACACCAAGCTCTGTGGGGCTGAGGACTTCCGCTTCACGGGGATCCAGAAGGAAAGTTCGAGAAGACTCACCTAATAAGCTCTACCAAAGAAACAAAACAAGCACACCAAATACAGTCTTCTATTAGGCTCCGAGCATCCTGACATAGCAAAGTTTTGCATATTTGTCTTAAATGTTTTGAAATTCCCATCACCGACACTCAAGTCTCTATCCCACCCAGAAATTGACCCGTCAAACATCAGGTGTAAGCCACGGATGTGAAACGAACTGGAAACCGCCCGTTCGCCACGTTTCCCCCCTTGTTTCCTAGTTTACGTTCTAGGCAGAAGGAAAAGCCGCTGTCCTGGTGATGTGTCCTCACGGGCACACTAACCTGTGGGAAGCCATGCTAAATGTCACAGCGTAACTACAGCTTCGAAAGGATGACCCTAAGGTCAGAGTAAAAAGGCAATGAAAAAGATCTAGAAACAAGGTCACATCACCGATTTTCCACATCAACCGAGTCATTGCAAGGCTAGCAGCCCGACACTGATCAGAATGACACTGACTCCAGTGGCAGACAATGAACATGAAGCTATCGGTGCGGTTGCCATGGATGGGCTGTTTGGTGGCGGTTGGGTTATTGTGTTTTTGTGAAGGGGCTGACCTGACTGCCGCGAGGCAGAACACTGGCTGCCGGGTGCACTGGGGAGAACGAGAAAATGAACTTCTGTCGTTTTTGTAGATCTGAGAGTCTCATCAAGAAAAAAGGTTCTTGCTTAAGAATTAACAGTCAAACATTAATATACTATATACACCTTTGCCATTTACACATTAGCATCAGGCCATTTATTACAAAACACTATACACTTTCCACTGCAGGCGGGTTATATATGGACAGCAAATTTCTGCAGATAAGACAGTGAATAAACTTTCCACTCCATGTTGATTAGGAATAGTTTTTTTTGTTGTTTTTTTTTGTTTTTTGTTTTTTTTTTTTTAGTTTTAAATATTAACCAGACACAGAAAAAGGTTGGACTGTAAGGCCTGGGTGCACAGTCTTGATGGAACCAGTTAGGCGTGTGCGTTTCACTGATCCTTCGTCTGAGGCGGGGACACTTCTTCACTGCCTTCGTAGTTTTCTTGTGCTCGTTGGCCAGCTCTCTGAGGGTTGTTCATGTGATGCGCCGCGGGGCCGGTGTACGGCTGTCCGTGCACATGGTTGTTCTGCAAGGGGAGAGGACACAGGCATGTTAACACGGTGATGTATGAAGCTGAAACTTCATAAGCATGGGCTGAAGGTGGTGGACATGTAAACACTTCCTTTATCCCTGGGACTTACAAAGAATCAAAACGCTTGGCCTCACGGTGGGGACAAAAAAAAAAAGTCTGAAAGAGAGAAGCTAGCCTAGATGCAAACCCCAATGCCCCATATGAGGGCAGCGCGGGTCTGCATAACCTGTGGCCAAAGGGATTTTCAGATCCAAGTCTGACAAATAAGGGACCACAGCTCATTATTGCTCGTGGTCAAAACATTCAGAAACAATTACCTGTGAGCCGGAGCACGTGTGTTCTGACTCTCCCAAGCACCTAAAACGTGCACACGCTACACCTACCCTGCCCACTTCTCTGTACATTCCCACCAGCCAGGCCGAGCTGGTTTTTCTGATGAACGTTCTATAATTTGTATTATGCAAAGTCGAACATGCAATTTCTAACCATTGAACGTGCTTCTATCCCCCGAGATATGGGAAAGAATGCCTTAAACGGTATCTGATCTGAAAGTATGGCTCATGCACTGGCAACAGCATCTCCTGGGAACTTGTTAAAAAAGTCGCATCAGCAGCTGGGGTGGGTGGGGCTGCGCTCTGAGCTGTAACAAGCCCACCAGGAGACTCTGATGCCTATAAAGCTCTGAGTTAATCACATTGGGCTTTAGAAAGAACTCTCATTTAGAAAGTTTCTTCATCCTAATTTTATTTAGTTATTGATTTTACAGCAAATTTATGGACCTGTCAAATCCTTGATTCTCCCCCAACCATTTTTACTGTCTCGCTTAGGCCAAATAACCAAGAAATCCTTACTTTATTGCCATATCTTAATGTCTTCACAATCCATCTGCAGGCTAAGCCTAACAGGAGATGTTGTCATAACCCTTTGTACTAAACACTATCCTTTTACACTGACACGAGTTCTCGCCATTTTGCCAACTTTCCCTCCTACTAAAAGAGGGGCACCTATCTGACCAGAACAACTCCACAGAGGCAAGTTCCAGCACACCCTACCATGCCTCCCTCCAACAGGCCCGTCTGCTCACGCCGCCAAAGCTCCTCTAGATAATCCATTACTTTCATTACAACAAAAAACGAAGCCTTTAAATATGGCATAAAACTTGATTCCTGGGGATAAAAACACACACCGGCCCCCACTTACCTGTTGATACTGAGATCCAGGGGAGTGGGGGTACAGCGGGGCATCTTCGGGGGGAGGCGACTCATGCTCATCCGGCGCATCTTGGTCATCTGGCTCCTAGTGTTAGAGATTTAAAGAGAGAGAGTCATATAGGCAAACTCAAGTTTATTTTAACGTTCTTTCTATTCGAAATAAAAAATTAAAAGATCTATAAAACTGACCCAGTAACAACTTTTGTTTTACTGCAGATAAACAAATTAAAACAATTGAAAAAAAATTCCTAATTTGGATTCTCTTAGAAATACTGTATTTCAGGCAATTTTATAGAAATTTCTCGAGAAGGCAGCTCGCAGCTCTCTCAATTACTTAAGACCACATGTAGTAAGCACTAAAGCAAACCAAGACCCCAACATCATATTTTTACATTATCGTTAACACACAAACACTAGCCTACGAAGTAAAGAATTACTTTGGCTTCTTCCATTCCTATCTGCTGCACACTGGTGGCTTTGTTTACCTCCTCTGGACAGAGTTCACAAGCTTTTGCAAGGGTCATCCTAGCACTATGTGATCTCTCCAAGAAATAACCATTTGAGGTCTCATTGCTTTGCACCGGAGGCGACCAGTTATTGTACGTGTACTGAGGGTTGCCAGTGTACGGTCGTCTTTCGAGCTCATCTCCAAGCCACTCCACTGCCCAGGTCCACTTTCTTTTCAGATCTCCGTTGCCCTTCGAAAAAAAAGAAAACGATTTGTGCAAAAGGTCTCGGAATCCTTTTCAAAGTGAACTTAAAATGACAACTCCAAATTCTCACGATTCGGTCCTTTTAAAACAGATTCCTTCATTTGGACTCAGATTTCTACCAAATTGAAAGAGAAAATCGTCACCTGCAAAATCTGGTAAGCAACAGGACAATTGCTGAAGAGAGCCACCATACACTTTATGCACTGGTATGCTCGCTTTTGATAGTGATTCTTAGAGCGCTGGATTGTGTCAAACAGCCCATCTCGGTCGTCTGGGATTCCTTTAAGTGCGTTATGAATTCTGAAAGAGAACCAGATATAAAATAAAAACGTCTAAAATCAGAGAGCAGCTAACATTTATTGAGTGTCTACTATGTGCCACTCAATATCTTTGACGTAGTCATGTACTCTAATGCTCGACAGTAAGTAGTTACCAATCTCTTGAACAGATGAGAAAATGGGTAGAGGGGTTAAACAGCCTGCCCAAGCTCATGTAGCCGCCTAGCAGTCTGGCTCTTACCAATTTATTAGCAATCCCAAAATGATATTGCTATGTATGTACTTCAAATACACGACCAGAGTGAGTAATACAAACTTTTAAAATTACCGTTTATAACAACTAAGTTTATGACTACTGTACTTAAGAACTTGCTTCATCAGTTCCTTTTCTAAAACTGCATTTCCAAAGGTAAGTCACAATCCAGGGACTCTGACACAGTGACATACTTTGGAAATCCAGAATTAACTTGGATTCTAATAATGAGAATATGTGGCAGGCAAAACAATTTTTACCAGCAACACTACAATTGGGCTGCTTGGCCAAGGATGGATGATTTCATTTCAGCTCCTGCCAAACTACAACAGAACAATATGCAGTCAATGATTTATTGTTCTGGCTCTCGATAAGCAATTTAAAAAAATGGTTGTGGCCAGAGCCGGTTTGGCTCAGTGGATAGAGCATCGGCCTGCAGACTGACGGGTCCCGGGTTCGATTGAGGTCAAGGGCACATGTCCGTCTTGCGGCTCAATCCCCAGTAGGGGGCGTGCAGGAGGCAGCCAATCAATGATTCTCTCCCATCCATGTTTCTCTCTCCCTGAAATCCATCAAAATATGTAAAAATAAATAAGCTTAAAAAAAAAAAAAGATTGTGGGGCAAGAATGTGCCTTGTTCCTTGTGTGTTCAAAACATCACCCGCCAGCAAACAAAATGTGGAATATATCCACATAGTGGGTTATTATTCAGCCACAAAAAAGCAACCAAGTACTGATTTGTGCTCTAACATAGATGAACTTGCTAACATGATGCTAAGGAGATGAGCAGTCACAGACGGACAGTTGCATGATTCCACTATATGAAGTGAGCTGGCAAATCCTGACCATTCTCTGTCTGTGAACAGGTAAATCCATAGAGGCAGCAGGTCGGTGGTTTCCAGAGGATGGGGGAATGGGGAGCGACTGTATAACTGGGTATGGGGTTTCCTTTTAGGGTGATGGAAATATTCTGAAATTAGACAGTGGTAATGGTTGTACCACTGTGAATGTACTAAAAGCCATTCAACTGTATACTACGGTGAATTTTTCTTGAAAGTGAGAGAAAGATCAACTGGTTGGCTCCCGTATATACCCCGGCTGGGGATCGAACCCTCAACCTTTTGGTGTACAGGACGATGCTCCAACCAAGTGGGCTACCCGGCCAGGGCTTGACTATTTTTACACAACCAAATGTTATCTCATGTGACCAATTCGGAAATGTAATCTAATTCTAAAAAAAGCCTAGGGCATTAATAAGATGAAAATATTTACCAAAGCCTGTGCTAGTTTTCCTTAATAAAATAAAAAAACTACTATATTAAGCATGCAATCTGGGCAATGAGAGAAAAGAGTAAAAATGAAATAAAGTTATGAGAAGAACTTATTGTTCATTCTTAAGTTTTTGAGATACAAGGGCACCAACCTGTGAGTCTGCCAGGAGTCCTCGATCAGCAAGATTTGCAAAAGCAGATCCAAATAGGGCCGCAGCTCGTAAGTGTAGGAATATGCAACCTGAAAACAGGCCAGACACAGTGAGTACCTCATTTGAAGGAACAACAAATCGAATTATCGATATAGGAATGTTTATTTTTCTTTAACCTGCCACAGAAGTTCACTGAGGACAGTAGATGAGAACTGAGGATTCTCCCAGCAGCAAAAACGAAGCAATTTGACGGTTTCCTCCGAATTACTGCAATCCTCAATGATTTTCTTCACATAACTTGTTCTCACAAATAAAATGTCTGCCACATTCTGCTGAATTGGCATGATAGGCTGGGATAAATTAGGATCACCAAAAGGGTTGGGAAGAGGAGGATTACCTAGAATACAGATTTGCCATCAATGAAACACCAATAGGCTCATTCACAACAGTACAGCTTCCAGCATACAAAACAGCTTATGGGCTTTTAAGTCTCTATTTTAGAAAAAACAGCATAAACTTTCAGTCTTGTTTTATATTTATTTATTCAATTTTTTAATAGAAGTATTCTTTTTTAAAGAAACATTTTTATTGGTTTCAGAAGGGAAGGGAGAGGGAGGGGGAGAATCAATGATGAGAGAGTCATCCATTGGCAGCAGGGCTAGGGATGGAGCCTGCAACTGAGGCTCATGGCCTTGATCGGCATCGAACCCAGGGCCCTTCAGTCTTCGGGCTGATGCGCTCTCCTCTGAAGTGAACCAGCTAGGGCAGAATTACTTTTAAGTGGGTACCGTGAGTGCCCAGCAGGATTACAGAACCACTGGAGGAACAGAGCATTTGACTTACCATTGATTGAGGACTGCATTCTTGACGAGACATTGCAACAGCGGATCAGCTGGGACACTACTGAGTACAGCTTGCCCAACTCAGCATACTGGTATTTGATGGGAGGACCTGGGCCCTCATCCAAAGACACAAGCATGAAGGTGGCAGGCACACTCAGCTTCAGAAGCTGTGTCTTCTCGGCCACGCCTACAATGAAGAGGGACGGGAGAGAGAGGGGTTATAGGAGAGGAATTCATTAAGATGGTACAGGTTTCAATCATAGAGTAGGTACGTCAAATATTTCTCTATAACTTTTATGATCAGAGAATTATTTAACCAGAACAAAAAATCTACTGAGTTTTATTGAATTTCAGAAGCATTAAAATGGTTACAGTGACCATAACATGCCGATCACACCAAGTACCCATCTGCTTCATTTAACAAACATTTACCAAGTACGACTTTGCAAAGCTCTCATCTTTGCAATCTAGTCGGGGAGCAACACAAAAATTTGAACACTGTCAAAAACAGTTAAGTATACTTTCTTTTAAATTATTTCTTTATTTAAAATAATTCTTGATTGTTGAAATTATTACATGTATCCCTTTTTCCCCCCATTGACTCCCTCCAGCCTGCCCCCACTAAAGCATCCTATCAGGGCAGGTAATGCGGGACCACTGAAAGGGAGTGATCAGGTGAGGTCAGGAGCAGGTTACCAGGAGTGTTGTTATATAGAAGTAATAGCATTAATAACAAGGTCATCTAAGTGAACATTCATATTATTCTTAATTTTAAGTGACTTTACTTCAACAAAAACTTATGTACAAGCCAGTCCTTCACCCAACTTGCTGAGCACATACAACCACCTGAGGACCTTTTTAGAATGTGGATGCGTTGGGCTGGCCTTGAGAATTGACTCAGTTGGTTGGGATGGGGCGGGACTAGGAATCAGTATTTAAAAAACCAGACCAATCTGGTACCACCGCTTTAGGAGAACAATACAATTGAGACAGAGATTCTGACCTGTGCCTACTGCAGACGTAAGACACATGCATAACTGAAGTACAAGGAGAAAAGGGCAGTGAAAAAAGTTTCAGACAGAATTCATACTAGGTTTTACAGAATACTGTTTCTATTTCAGACCAGCTTATATCTTATCAGTTGATTTAAATGGCTTCACCATCGAATACACTAAGAAGCATTCTGAAAACGGCAATGCTTACCTAAATTGGCATACATCACGAACAGGTTGAAATACTGCTGCAAATGGCGCCCATGCTCCGAGACTTCCCTTCTCAGGAGATTCAGCACCGCTCTCAGCAGGTGATCGCTGAGGCTTAGGTTGTCATAAGCCTGCGAAGGAGAACACATCAGCTGTTTTTCAGAAACAAGGTACAGGCGTGGCATAACTCAATTCGCATAACAAAGGGACACACGCATGTATATGTTGAATACAGGCAGGAGTTTCTGGAAGGACTGATGACACAGTGATTAAAAAGGGTTGCTTGTTAGAAAAGGGAATAGAGATCCAAGGTACATTTCAAAATAGAGCCTTCATACTATTCCAATTTTTTAAAAAAAGTCTATATAACAGTAAGTGTAAATTAAGTCACCGCATATAAATGATTCAACAGAGAAAAGTTAAAATTTTAAAGAACCGATAATCACTACTCATTGCTGTGAGCTACTTTACATGGAACCCATAGACATCACATTGTGTGGTGTGTGCGCACGCGCACATTAAGTAAATGTATAAAAGAGAGGCACATACATGTGGACTTCAACTTCCAGGTAAAGGAATTTACTTGTAAACAAAAAACCCAAGCAATTACCTGACTAGAAGGTCCAGGAGATGCAAAAGGTGAAGGGCATGGCCCATCTTGCAAGGAAAAATGCGCAATGAAAACGATCAGCTTTGCAAATGCACCCCTCACTTCCGCACTAGGGCACTCCAGGAGGTATTCAGAGAAGCGATTGGAAACATTAAAAAGGACGTTATGAGCAAACCAAAAGCGCACATTCTTGCTGTGGCGAAGGAGAATACACAGTGCATCATACCTGAGATAAAGCACACACACACAAAAAGAAAGTCTATGAATAGCAATTCAGGAACACGTTTCATATAGTACAGGGGTGGGTCTCTATGAACCAAATAAAAACCAAAAACCTTTTACTACTGGAGGGTGCTTCTAGTATTCAAATGATAGATGAATACTATGACTTCGTCTATTCTCACGGAGAGACAGAACAGACAAAATCTTGTATGTTTGACTTCTCTATAAACCTATTACCAAACTCTTACTAGGTTCACGCTGTCAAAACAACGCCCGCCCCTCCCTTAAACACCTTACCACTGGATAAGTAAAAATCATTATATCAACGTTATTATAATGGCCTTTACATGTTCACAATTAGAAACATAGGAAGCTCATTCTTTACCCTTTTAATCTATGGCAGTATTTACTAAAGGAAAGCTAAAATGCATTATTTCCTGATAAAATAGTTCAGATTTTTAACTATCACCCTGTAATCTTTTGTACAGGGGCTGTCAAAGATGATACAAAATAGCAGAAGCCTGCTTCTGAATAATAAAAGGCCATTTTTATTAATCTAAATCACTACTTTTATGTGCTTTCTCTCACTACTGCTACCAAGAGATTTTTAATTCTGCATACCAATCCGAAACAAGATTATTATGGTTTGGAAAAAAAATATATTAAAGAACCAAACTAAATGCTAGTAGAATAGGAATGAAAACGCTACGCAACGTACCAATCACTGGCCGAGCCACGGACTACTTTCTTGGTATGAAACCCTGTGGTGAAGAGGAACCTAGCAGCAAGTTGAATACTAATCATGGTGATTTCTTCTGCTTCAGGCAACAAGTGATCTTGCCCTAGAAATAAAATGCAGATATAAAAATTAGACTAATTTCTATGTCCAAACCCATTTTCAAACACGTGTACATTTCCACGAAGCCTCAGAAGTCTACTCATGAAATAATTCTTTTTAAAAAAAAGAATTATTTTTTAATTGATTTCAGCGAGGAAGGGAGAGAGAAACATCAATGAGAATCATGTATCGGCTGCCTCCTGCACGCCCCCTACTGGGGATCGAGCCAGCAACCCAGGCACGTGCCCTTGACTGGAATCAAACCTGGGACCCTTCAGTCCACAGGCTGATGCTTTATCCACTGAGCCAAACCGGCTAGGGCATGAAGTAATTCTTAGTTCTCTCAAGCACATTCCAAACTAATGTTCGAGTCAAAAACAAACTGTTATAATAAACAAAAGCTCCAGTTTTCAAACAGCAAGACAATATACTCTCTTAAAGCTAAGTCTTCTGAAATTAGACTACAAACAACCAAATGTGAAAACCAAACATGTTGATGCCTAGTAAGAAACCCGTGAGTAGAGTAAGAGCCGTGCTTTATCATTAAGCAGCTACATTTTTTGGACACTCACCGGGAGGAGGATTTAAGTAAACACCATTACATGTAAGCAGTTTTTTCATGAACTGAAAATATTCCAAACTGTACTGCATTCGGTTATGCATGAACTGCACGTTCTGTTTGCGCACACTTCTCTCGATGGCCGATGGCATGACGATTTGATGGGGTCTGCTGGTGACAGCGAGCTCGGATATGTATCGTATCAACTCATCGCCTTGGTCTATCGTGTCCAATCGCTCATAAAAGAGTATGTAGGCGTTCCACCACCTTTTCTGGCGCCTGTATGACATGCGCTTCATCATGTGATCGAACACTTCTCCCATGTACTCTCCCCCGAAACACTGGTTTTTCATTTCTTCATCATCATCCATTTTACACTCTGTCACATCGCCGTCATCGAATTTATACCAGCGATTTCTCTCACCGTCCACACCATTCCTCTGAATGATGTAAGAGTAATAGTGGCCACCACTCGCCTGCCCACTGTGGACAAGCACACCCACGAGCCTGTACTTCGTGCTGCCCGCCGCCTCGCCCTCGGACTGCTCGTTCTGCTGAATTAGCTGACTCTCTGGGTTCACATTGTCTCCCTCCAGCTTTGCGACACCTGCCACCGTGTAAGGCTCCATGTCCAGCTCTCGAGGAAACTCAAAATAATCATTGAACTTGATCGCACACTCTCTTTCCCAGTCATAGTCGAATCGTTTCAGTTGAATAGCAAGAACAGGAGGTAATTTTTTAATTAGCAGGCGTTTTACAGTATCAACCTAAAATAAACAGACCAAGTTACTCGAGGCTGCTCTCTTATAGTCAATCCACTGCAAAAAACAGACTTTAAAATTGTAAGTTCTCTTTTTCAATTGAATTCATTAGGGTGACACTGGCAAGTTCTCTTATGGCTAATCTGAAATTATGTGTCAACAAACAAGGAACACAAGTTAATTCTGTCACAATTGATATTTTAAAAAATATTAACTAAAACAAGTATGGAAATAGCTAATGCCATTTATTGTAAATTGCAAAAATTAGTAATAGAGAAATTACTCACTGCCTGGTTTTTACATTGTCATTGAACCATTATTACTTGTTTGATGTCTACTGTTACTTAGTGCTGTGGGTGGCAGGCAGTATGGCCTTACAACTCACCATCTCAACCTCTAGACTTTGACACCTCCCTAGGTGGTGTGTAAGGCAAAAAACAACAGAAAACCCAACACACGTTAGTTCTACGTGAGAGGGTTTGGGAGCCCCCCCCCGCCCCCACACACATTACTGTCTGTCTGAATTCTCTCCCCCCAAAAGATGTTAGGTGCCCATAGATAAAAATAATCAGGTGGGTCTAAAAATCTGATCCAAGTGGTAGAAGAAATCTGATGTGGCTAAATTCTTGGTCTTGACAAGTAACTCTGGACATGAGAGAAGAAATGATAAGTTCTATGACTCTAGCTTCGAGGATTTTAGTAGCAGGTTGGTTGAGTATGAATGAAAAAGGTCTGTGTTTCAGTCAAGAAAATGTGCTACTAAGGTATTATGGCTGCTAAACTGATTCCCTCTTACCTTACTCACCTGTTTTCCCTACCCTCCCAGACTACTTTCTCTCAATCTTCTTTCCCTGACCAACCTTTCAATCACTTACCATCTCAACTGCCCTCAAAAGCAGGGTAGGAAATAAAGGTGACTTTTAAGAACAAACACCGTCAACTTCTTCCAAATCCATTAAATGTAATCAGAATTAAGATAAATGAGATGGGACAACTCATACCTTTTTATTGCATTTCTCACAATGATATGCATTTGCACCTTCTAATAAATCTCCTTTGACGTATTGTTCCAAAGAATCAAGAAGATTTTGGTGATTTCGAATGTCTACATTCAAAGTTGTAAAAGATTCTTCACACTCGTATCTAAGATATTATTTTAAAAAAAAAAGATAAAAAAGCAGTTATTCCCGTCTTCTAAACCTTTAGTTGTGGGCATGTGCAGTATTTATAATACAACATGAAACCCGTAGCTGCGTGGAAATGTCCAAAGAGCATGATCTTAGTAAGACCCTGAAGTTAAATGCCTGCTCCACAACGGACTAGTCACACACAGCCGAGATGCTGGTTTAGGGCATTACTAGTCTAGAGCAGGGGTGATAGGCTGCGGGCCATTGGTCAAATCCAGCCCTGCGCCTGTTTCTGTAAAGTTTTGTTGAAACATACCTACCTTTACCTACTGTCTGCCTGGCTGCTTTCACTAGAACAAAGAGTTGAGTAGTTGCCTCAAGACCTCACAGCCCAAAAAAGCCTGTAATATTTATTTTACTGCCTGGCCTTTTACAGAAAATCAGTCATTTCCAAATAAATTTGAAAACTAACTAAAACAAATCAAGGACTAACAGGAATAGATAACTAAAGAGCTGGCTATTTTGCTCTAGCCAGTTTGGCTCAGTGGATAGAACGTCGGCCGGCAGACTGAAGGGGCCCAGGTTCGATTCCGGTTCAAGGGCCTATGCCCGGGTTGCGGGCTCAATCCCCAGTAGGGAGTGTGCAGGAGGCAGCCGATCAATGATTCTCTCTTATCACTGATGTTTCTCTCTCTCTCTCTCCTTTTCCCTTCCTCTCTGAAATCTATAAAAACATACAAAAAAAAGTTGGTTATTTTATCAGCAATTAAAAACAAGAAGTATGAACAATATAAACTGATGAACAAAAACAGATCCAGAGACATAGACGCATCGAACAGACCGTCAAAACTCGGGGATGGGGGAGAAGTAAGAGATCAACCAAAAGACTGTATGCATACATATAAGCATAACCAATGGACACAGACAATAGGGGGTGAGGTAGCTAAGTGTAGGTAAAGGTGAGGGCCTGTGCTGGGGGGTGGGAGCAGGCTGGGAGAGGTCAATGGGTGAAAAAGGAGACATACGTAATACTTTCAACAACAAGAAAGAACTAAAAAAAACAACACGTAAAAATGGGAATTTTATTGTCCGCCTAATGTAATGTCTTTTTAAAAAAATATTTTTATTGCGTTTATTTCATAGAGAGAGAGGGAGATAGAAACATCAATGATGAGAGAGAATCATTGACCAGCTGCGTCTTGCACACCCCACACTGGGGATCGAGCCCTAAACCCAGCCATGTGCCCTGACCAGGAATCGAACCCGTGACCTCCAGGTTCATAGGTCGATGTTCAACCACTGAGCCACGCCGGCTGGGCTGTAACACGTCTTTCAAAAGGACCGCAAGCTGTGCAGGGTACGCGAACAATGACATGCCCCTGATCTGAATGCTTTAACCTAACAGAATCTCTCATTCACACAGTATTACTCACCCCAATCATTTCCCGACGTTCCAAAGCAAAGCAGCCCACCAACCATACACACACACAACCCATGAGGACCACATGGAATGCTGCTTGGGCTTATGGAAAATACTCTTACTGTGATATTTTGGCAAAAACTATTTCAAACCAACATTAATTGATAGATTCCAAAACAAAATTTCCACATAATAGGCATAAACATTATCAGTAACGAATTTTCAATAGTTATTGAACTATTTTCAATAAGTCCTGATCAAACAATTTCCCTTTTAAGTAAAAAAGTCAATTTGTTTAGTCAACTCTTGCTATGTTCTGTGAGGAAAACATACCTTAAGGATAATGACCATAATCAATGCTATTTTAAAAGTCAGTATTTCAATTGCAAACACCAAAAAAAAGGTCAGTATTTCATTTGTATAGGAAATAGTGCTCCGTTTCTGTCATCTTGTAAAGTCACTGTATTTATAATATTATAATTATTTTAATTCTAAAACAAAGGACAAATTTATAAGTAACATATGCATCGGTATGGAGAATGCTATTTTATTTCCTCACAAATAACCATACATAAAATGCAAGAGTATGAAATAGTAAGAGATTATACAGTAAAAAGAAGCAAATATCTATATCTATCTATCTATCTATCTATCGTCTATTTATCATCTATCTAAAAGGCTAATAAGCAAGTGTCACCACAAGAGTTCAACCAGGAGACAGGGAGTTCTCTCTCCCTCGCTATGACATGTGCTGACCACCAAAGGGCAGTGCAGAAGGAAGGAAGGCCCTGATCGGCGGCCAGGCCTAGGGACCCTACCTGTGCATGAATTTTGTGCACCGGGCCTCTAGTTATTTTATAAAAACAAACTCCCAAAGTAGTAAGGTATACACAGTATATAATTCATCCAGCCTGAGTTATTTAGTCATCAGTGGCATACTCCACTTGTATACATAACTACTAATAAAAATTTTATTTTTGTTAGTAAATCAACAGCACAACATAAACTTAAACTATGTAATTAGCACTTACCTATGTGGGCAGCCTTGGCAAATCTTCTGATCCGCAAAAGAACCTCCTAAAACTTTACTTAGCATAGCAGGATGTCCTAAGGCTTTCAAAGCTTCATCTAAACTATCCACCAAAGAATTAAAAAATTCTAAAGCATCATGTTGCTCACGCAGATTAACAGGCTCACCCCAAAGCCTAGAAAATGAATGGAATAAAAGATGTAATGTGACACTCCCAGGACAATATATTCTTCAAGGGTGGAAACATTTTCAGGATAAGTGACTTTTTTTTTTTTTGCCCCTGCAGTTATTTGTTGAAGGAAAAAAATAAAGAGACTAGAATCATAGAATTTTGGTATATGGACTTAATTAGTATCCTGATTTTTAAAATATAGTAATAAATAATTATGAGAAGAGGATATTAAGGATTTTTTAAAAGATAGGACAATAGAATTATGGTTGTATTTTTCAAAAGACATCTGAGATACAGACTGAAATATTTATGAATGAAACTATGCATGAGATTTGCTTCAAAGCAATCTGGAAAGACCTGTAGATGGGAATGTGGATTAAACAAGACTGGCCATGAGTTGCAAACTGTTGAAGTAGGGTGATACACACTAAGGGTTTATACTCTTCCCTACTTCTATATGAGAACTTCTCAAAACAAAGGAAAAAACTGTAACATCCTCAAAGACTAAAGAATGCTGCCTCCCCTTCCTCTGACACTTTCTTCCTCCTCCTTTGAGGACAATGAGCAAAAAGCCTAACTAGGAAGTGTGAATATTACTATTGCGTAAACATAAGGAGGCCTTCCGACATCTATTTTGGAAGTTCAATGTATTGAGCAGCTCACAGGTGTAAGCAGTATCCCCATCCCCACCCGCCCACGGCTTACCTGAACTGCTTCCAGAATCCTCGGGGCACATAGTACTGCAGCCGAGAGGCAGCCAAGTGGCCAAAGATGACCTGCAGGTGTCTGAGGACACCGATGTTGTACTCCTTCCTGTCCTCTGTCTTACTTAATGCTGGCTTGTCTTCGAATTGCTGAGGGTATCCAAATACATCATCTCTGGGATCAACATTGCTCTAGAAACAACAAGTACCATGGATGAGCGAATCTGACTTTAAAATATACTAAAATATGTTCAGACAAATGCCAATTAGTGAACAAATGACCTGTATGTCTACTTTTTATTTCCAAATAACTTTGAATTTATAAACTGTAATTTCCAACATTTCACCAGAGTTGTTCTAAAGGAAGAACCCCAACCATGCATCGCAGTGGTGGGCAATACAGATGATACAACAGCGTAGGTAGCGATGAACTTAGACGAATGGGACCTAAATGCAGGCTCGGCACTGTAACTGGGTAACTTTGTACAAGTCAGTTACTTAACCTTCGCAAGCTTCAGTGCCTTCAAATGTAAAGGGGGGCAACACATTCTTCATGTAGCTGTTGTATTGCATGAAATAACTTTTGTGAAACAAACTGGAACCTTTGTACGTGGTTGGTGGGAATGTGAAATGGGATCACCATTGGGAAGAGTTCCTGTGAAAATGAAAAACAGCCCTGGCCGGGCGCCTCGGTTGGCGTGCTGTCCTATAAAGCTAAAAAGGTTGTGGGGTCAATCCCTGGTTGGGGCGCTTATGGGAGGCAACCGATAAACACACACACACCCTCGGATGAGGATTAAAAATTAAAATATAATCACCACATGACCCAGCAATTCTACTTCTGGGCACACACCCAAAAGAATGGAAAGAAAAGTCTCAAAGAGATATATGTACGCTCATGTTCATGGCAGCGGTATTCACAACAGCCAAAAGGCGAAGCAACCCAAGTGTCCACTGAGAGAATGTGGCCTATCCATACATGGGATACCATTCCTCCTGAAAAGGGAAGGAAACTGACACATGCTTTGACATGGGCAAACCTTGAGGACAATATGTTACGTAAAATAAGCCGGTCACAAGACAGGCATGGTATGATTCCAATTATGTGAGGGAACTAGAACAAACTCATAGAGACGGAGAGAGACTAGGGGCTGCAGAATCGTGTCTGAGACCTTCAGCTAGAATAGACAATTTCTAGTCCCTGCCCATGAGACCTTAGTCTAGGGAAATCAGCACATAGATAAAAACACGAAACAAACCCTCAAACTCACGCAGCGCAGCAGAGTGCCAAGACAATACAAAGCAGAGGGCACACCTTCTTGGCAGAGAACAAAGGTGGGACATCTTATTTGAAATTGTGTATTTTGCCTGCCTTGTTTACTTGTTGCCGGTACAATCAGATCTCTCTCATTGTGCTTAACTGGGCATCTCAGACATGTCAGAGGCTACAGAACTAGAATCTGAATTTCACCTTGCCCTCAGAGCAGTGGCTCTTCACCAGGGATGGGTTAAGCAGCCCCCCAAAAGCTCTGCTAAAAGGCAAAGATACTTATAGGGGGCGTGCTGGAGGCAAGCAATTGATGATGTTCGCCTCTCATCAATGTTTCTATCTAACACCCTCCCTTCCTCGCTCTCTAAAAATTTATTAAAAAAAAAAACTAACTAGTTTCAAGTCTAATAGATAGTCCATGCCAGAAGATTCTAGCTTTATTTCCCAACATATGTCAACAGGCCCAATGAAAGTACAACACTCCCTGAGGGAGAACAGTTTTTGGTATCAGAACTTGAACAGAAAACAAAAAACGCTAATATAATAAAACATTTACCTCATTGTCCTGCTTCTCATCCCCAGACATATCATCATCTACATCACTACCTGTGCCTTCAATGGCAAGAATACCATTCCGGATGGAGGGGATCATGTAGAGCTGCTGGATCACAGAATTCATGTAGCAGGTAGCACCGGCATTTTTCAGCCCCACGAAGCCTTTGGGAGGGCGGGGTCCCACAGGGGGCAGATATTCCCACTCAGTAAGTGCTTCACACGCTGAAAGGAGAGGAGAGATTCTTAGAGTATGGACACAATCATTTTATCCACTTTCAGCTCCATTAAGCTGATAAACGAACATCAGCAACAATTCCACTCCCACAGACACCTGAAGTGGAGCTCCGAGCCTGCATTTTACCCTCAACAAACCTAAGACACACAGCAACGTGCTGGCACTATCCGGATTCTTACCCACCTGAGAACCCACATTTTAGCGGGTGTTGCTTCTTCTAATGGCAGCCTCAAGATTGTACGATGCTAATTCCTACATGCTACCTGTACTTTTAGCTTTATAGTTTAGTCATTATGAACTTTCCACTGTTGTATGTTTTTAAAATGCCTTCAAAACGCATGCTGGCATTAAAGGTTATATAAACACATCAATATATTACAGAAGGACACCTGTTTTGGGTAGAGTAGCTACAGGTCTAACCTTTAAAGCAGTCAGTTTCATCAGAATTTCCTAAAACGTTATTTAAAATGACCTATTCTGAAGTATAACATATCAAAAATAATGATGTTCTTAAAAATTTACTGTCATCAATTATATCCTTTATCTTTGTAAATAGCGGTTTTCTCTTAAGGAAAAAAAAAGGCCTCTGTTGTGCTTGATTTTTTCACTCCTGCTTTTTAGGTCACTTCCTGTTGCCCTCATTCGTTTTGAGCTTCAGCTCCGTATCCGTAAGATCTGGAGTCTGGAGTTTATTTCACGGGCTTCATAGGAGCATTAACTGAGGACATGAAGCGCAGGAAAATGTTACCTTCTCCATTCCTAATCTTTCAAACCAGATTTCCCATATGGAAATAACACTAAAGAGCTGCTAAGTGAGGGCTTGGAAGGTTTCCACTGCATGAAATTTGCATTTTAAGTTTGAACTCTGGCTTTTATTTTGGCTACATATCACTCTGCAGTTTGGGTTTTATTCCAGATTTGATTGAGATGAAGTTTATTTTGCTCAGTACTTACACTACACAGAGGAAGGCAGTTAACAAACATTTGAAAACTTACATTAAGGCTCCCTCCTCACTTATCATGGTCTTAAATTATACATCCATTTGCTAGAAAGGTTAAACTAAACCAGCTGCTGAAAAAAAAGGCTGAGTTGAAGATGGTTACTAAAAAACCAGGAAAACAGAATTTGCGTTCTCGTTATCACAACATTATGGAATACTTACTAGTTATTGCTGTGCCAATGTAATACATTTCAGTCAAAGACTCTACTATCTGCTTGAGATTCCTCACACAGCCAACAGCTAATGCTACAAGTAACTCAAAACCAGCGTTGATGGTAGCTGGTGAGCTGCAGACGGGGATGGCCTGTTCAGCGGGCAGCTCTCCGTTCCTCATGTACTGCAGGTACACATTGGATGCAGGGAAGATGAAGTCATCAATTAATTCCTAGGAGGGTCGAAAGGAAGATTGGTATTACAATGACATAATATCTATGTGTCATTATATATTTATGTTGTAGATGGAATTACTTGTCAGAACCCAAGACCTCATTACATCTCAAGAGAACTTATTTGGATTTTCTAATAAAAAGACCCCACTTTGTAACACTACAATGAACAACCATACACAAGTTTGTCTCATCTTAGTCTGACCAAGTGAAAAATTCTGATTTTCTAAATAGAAAAATCAAATAGTGCTTATTTAAGTTTATAAAATACATAGTAGCACTGAAATTTTACTTAAATTTAGAAGGCTACAATAGGACCAACACAACAGACTTACTTTAATGAGGCTAGCACCTCCCTTTTCACAACCAATATGGTACTTTTTCTCCGGGGTTTGAAAAGCCAGCAGCTCTTTTGTTACCCCCAGGTGGCCTTCCAAGATCGTCTCCTCAACACCTGTGTCACCTGTTCTCTTAACTTCATCCTGCCAAAAAAATCAATGAAAAAAATCAAACATCCAACTTATGAGAGGGAGGTAGCAAGGGAGGGAGAAGCCAGAACAAGAGAGGGCTGCACAGACATGCGGAAACCCCTTCACACCTGTCCATTTTAAGCCATTTCTCTTCAGAACTTTCTAGAAGTAGCTCTAGACGCTACCAAAGGCTAAAAGCTACAAATCTCTTCAGAAAGCAATTCCCATACAATTCTAAGTAAAAAGTATCAGGTCTTAAGAGGAAGAATTAAATTAAGCGCTTATCCTATCAGATTTATCAAGAATGCATTTTAAAAGTTGAAGATTTGTAAAAAGGTCCACGATTCTAAAATGAAAGGTGAATATCTGCTTACCAAGTCTCAAGTGAAACGAAACATTTCACAGAACTAGCTACGTATCCATCCTGTGATTACCGAGTTACTAATGTCCACCAACGCAGAGTACATTCGTCAGTCCTTTTTATTACTCTTTGGTATTTTTCATTTAACCCAAATGCTCAAAACTATAAACTATTAATCAACTACTCAACTTATTGATATGGTAAATGCAACTTACTCTAATTCTCTTCAGCCAATCGATTTCATTGTTGAGAAGAACTTCGGCGTTGGGTATATTAATGTTACTGTTGTAAGCATAATTCAGAAGGTGCCTCAGTAGAGTGAAGTAGTCACCCGAGTGTTTAGCTCTCTCCCTGGCTGTGCTCTGAAACAATAAAGCAGAATAATATAAATTCACGCGCCCCTGCTCAGAATCCACTTCTTAAAAACTCACTTAAGTAGAGATATCATATGGGAAATTACTCATCTTAATGACATGAACAGACCTCTCTAACTTCAATGCAATCAAACAGCATGACTTCCTGAGTGCCCCTTGTTTAAAGAACATTCCACACCGACAAGCATAAAAATGTCTCACCCCCAAAACAGTGAAGAGCAGCGTGATGAAGAAAAGCAGGGGCCTGTGGCCCATGCAACACCTGGTGCACATCAGGAAGAACTGCTCCTGCGCCACCTGGCGGACAGTTCTGCAAGAAAAAGGTTTCACGTTTAGTGTTTCATTTTCATGAAGGAAAAAACATTATAATCCTGGTCTCCCTGCGGTGGGTGGGGAATAAGAGATAGAAAACGAGTAAAAATACAAGCATACAAGGTAATACCCCCTAAAGCCAGCAACATACATACAGGAATTTAGGTTGTGTGTCAAGAACTGTACCCTCAAATTGCCACTGCAGAGTTTGAAGGTGCCTTTTAACACACGTCCCTTGGAAAAGACAAGAAATAGGCCACAGTGAGCCTCACGCAGCTGTGGTGTGAGGTGAGCTTAGAACTGAAAGCGCAGCTCACTGTAAAGAACCTGACAGCACACGCTGTGTGCACTCACCCCCTCCTGGGGCTTTTGAGGTTTCTCAAACCCCACATGGTCCCATAAGGCAGAGGGATTTTAGACACTGTGGGTTGATTCCGGTGGAACTCATGCTCACTGAAGTCAGGAGGACCAATTTTCTGGGGAGAAATAAGGTGGTGAAGGCCTGGGGTAGGACAAGATCTGGGTGGAAGGGGACAATGGGAGTGGGGCGGTGGGGAACATCTATAATGCGCTCAATAATAAATATAAAACCAATGTCTGATTAAATACTTTTCAAATGCAAACGAGGGCCAATAGTTGGTTTTTATTCTCAGTGTAAAATACAGAAGTTCTTACCATAACTCTGCCTTCTGAATGTCATACTGAATTAACAACTTAAATAAAAAACAAACACCTTGTAGCTAGGTATTCAAGATGGGAGGCTAATGCTCTACTCAATTTAAAATCTTGTAAACTAGATTTTTAAAACGGGTTAAAATATTTACCTGTTAGGTAAAACGAAATTCTGAAATCGGAGAAAAATTAACGTCACTTTGGGAATGTTGGTGTTTTGCAAAGACCAGAACCAAACAGATACGGGTCTAAGGAAAACACGCTTAAATAACATTTTCCCAAACAGTAATAAAAGCTACGGAGACAAACCGTTTTGGCTTCTGGGACCCATTCTGGCAGCAAAGTGACCCCTGCACACAGACTCACAGCGTTTCTTACGGCGAGAGGACTTACTTGCTGTGGCAGTGCAGCAGTAAGTCAATAATGAATGTTTGCCAAGCCTTGTCCTTGCTGAGAGCGTCCAAGGCCGTCGGAATCAAGGCAAAACACAACGTCATCACTTCCAACGCTTCGCAGCAAACCTGCTCATCTTCCAAGTCCAGCTCGTTGCCCATGTTGGACTGTAAAATGATAGGGTAAGTCATCTAGAAATGCATTTAAGGAAAAGTTCATACACAGCTTCAAGCCAGCGTGCAGCCCGTCCCTACTCGCTCACACCATCTGGCCTCAGCTGCCATCTGCAGCTCTTGGAGTAGTAGGGAAACGACGACAGCTGACAACAGAGTCTAATTCCAGTGTTTCCCCTTCCCAGGGAGCTGCGGGAGCGCGGGCCACACCACCTGCTTCTGCCCGCTGGACTCCTAGAGACCTTCTGAGTCCTGTTCTTGGGCACCAACAGCCATTCCTTCCTAGAGAACCACTCTGCCCCACAGTTAGGGACCCCTGACCAGTCCCACCCCGCAGCGCACCTGTAGCGCCATTTTACTCTAAAGCAACTCTTAGGTAAATAAATGTTAAGGAAGGTTTTCCAACCTACAATACGTCTGGGTAGGTAGTTAATAAATTCTAATCTGACTGTATAAGAAATTCATAATTGCAGCACATGCCTCGAAAAGAAAAAGCACTCAAACATTAGCTGAATGAATCAGCCATGTACCATGTGGTACCATATATGTACTACAGGACACCAACATGCACCCCAGGCAAATCAGGGTTACGTCGGCCACAAAAGGGAAGATCTACAGTGACGGCAATCCTACAGCTTAATGTCCCATCTAAACATGCGGCTCTGGCCGGTGGTGCTCTGTGGGTTGGGGTGCCAACCCACACACCGAAAGGAGGCAGGTGCGATCCTGGGTTGGGGCGTGTACAGGAGGCAACCTATCAATGTTTCCCTCTCTCTCCACCCCTAACAAACAAATAAATAATTATAAAGAAGTGGCTATCAGGGACAGGGACATATGACAGAAAAATCAGAGTCAAACACCACCTTTCTTATGTAAATAATTTGCTCAACCAAAGGGAGGTTGGAGGTGATGCCTGACTGGCTGACACTCTTGCTACTTCTGACCACTCTCAGAGAATGGAAAATACAACTGACGGCCAGCTAAACCCAAATCTCCACAGGACAGGAAGGTGGTGAGGGAAGAATAGTGAGGATGGAAGCCATCAAATTCAGTATTAACATTTATTGAAAAGAGATAGATTTCTGTGATAGCTCTTACCTTCTCATAAATTTTAGTGATTTCTTCATTCGGGCTAAATACCAGCTGTAGAGCCCCGCACCCGGAGGCCCAGATGATTTTCTGAATAGCTCTAATCACGCAGATGTCAGGCATGTATCTTGAAGCCTGTGAGACAGGGAGGAATGACAAGAGTAGGAAGCATGTGAGCGGAATAAGCACTGAAAAAGCAGACATGTTTCTTCTCGGGAAGGAGGAGAAACCTGTGTTCAGGTTCCCATGTGGCCTTGCGGCACCACGCAGTGCACCTCCAAGTTACCGCCTGGCCTCATACAACTCCCAGAAGAACCGCAAAAAGACTACAGGGGTGCTTCCACCATCCCTTGCCTCGTGGCCACACAGACACTTGTCCAGAATGTTCACAGCAGCTTCACGCAGGACCAAAAAGGGGGAACAATCCAGGTGGCCTTCGCCAAGCAGATGGACAAACGTCATGTGGAATATTCACCAGGGGACGCCACGCCACAATAAAAAGGGATGGACTAATGGCTCCCACAGCGCAGACAACTTCCAGCCATTATTCGGCGTGAAAGAAGCCAGACATAAAGGAACCCCCAGTTTGCTCCCACCTGTATGAAGTTCTAGAAACAGAAAACTAGTATATGGTGACAGAAGCTCAGCGGTCATGTGGGGCAGGGGTGGAGGGAGATTGGACCGCACAGGAGCACCCAGAGAGTGTGATGGGATCATGTGCCTGTGGTTTTACACACAGAGGCGTTTGTCAAAATTCACTGAATTACAGCCGGGCTGGCGTGGCTCAGGGGTTGAGCGTCGACCTATGAACCAGGAGGTCACCGTTTGATTCAGGTCAGGGCACAGGCCCGGATTGCAGGCTCCATCCCCAGTGTGGGGCGTGCAGGAGGCAGCCGATCCATGATTCCCTTTCACCATGGATGTTTCTCTCTCCCTTCTCCTCTCTCTATAAAATCAATAAAAGCAAATTTAAAAATACAATTCACTGAATCAGAAACTGTAAAAGCGCGCTATTTACTGTACATAAAGCACTGACATTACTAGTAGACAAAGCTGATGTTAAGGGAGCTTCATTTAGTCTAAGACAGTGACTAAAGCGAGCAGTGAGCAGACCCAGGAAATGCAAGCCCTAACTGGTGACAAGGGTTCATTCTGAATGAACAGAGGGTCAAAGGTAGAACACCACCCCCCAAAAAGCCCCCGGAGGCCAGAGTTTGAGCGGCCAAGCACCCACCTCGTCGGAGACCTGCTGGGCCAGGCGGATGGCCACATTCCTGAGCATGCACTCAGACGATGGGTTCGGGATGCTCTGCAGCGCGCTCTGCAGCACCACGGCCTGGTCGTGCGTGACTTGGTTGACCTGCAAAAGGCAACCGTTAACCAGACTCGCTTGTTCCTTGCCCATCACACTCCCTCGGGATGACCCCCTTCCACAGACAGCACCCCACGGCGCCAACCAGG